TCACTCTCTCAGTCTCTCATCTGCTCCCTCTTACTCTCTCTCTTCTCTCTCATGTCTCTTGTCTCTGTCCTCTGTCTGAACTGTCTTCTTGTCTACCTGTCTCACTGTCTGTTCTCAATTCTCATGACTCCATCTCTCTCATGCATTACTCTCTCATAGTCGGTGACAGTCCCATCTGCCCTCTCTCCAGTCGCCACTCTCTTCTCTCCGACTTCTCATCTCGGGCATCATCCCCTAGCTACGAAATCCCCGTCTGTCCATTGATTTGACTTACTCCTCTACCTCCTACTCTCTCCTTCTCTCTCGCTCTTGTTCTACTTCTCTTCTCCGCTCTCATCCTATACCTCCATCTCTCTTCTTCTTCAAAAGCTCTCTACTCTCACTGTCCTCTCAGGTCTCTCTCTCAGAGTCTAGAGAATCTGCTCTCATTGAGATTGTCATCCCCTCTCCTTCTTCCGACGCGCTCTCCGATCTTCCCGTCTCCCATTCCTCTCACTCTCTCAACCTTCGTCTCCTCCTCTCCCTCCCCGGCCTTCTCGTACTTCTCTTCGTCAGTCTCCTCCCTATCTGGACTTCTCTCCTCATCCCATTTGCACTCTCTCTCTCCCTCCCTCTCTCTCCTTATCTCTCTTCTCTCTCTTATTTGCTCCTCTCTCTTTATGTCTCCTCTCTCCGCTCTACTCTCTCTCTCTCTCGGTCTCTTCCTTCCTCCTTCTCCTCTCGCTCTCCTCTCACTCATCCTTCTCTCTCTCCTCCTGCTCTCACGCATCCTGTTCCTCTACCTGCCTTCTCCCCTCCTCTCTTCCTCTCAATCTCTCTTCGTCTCTCTCATCTCTCTCATCTCTCTCGTCTCTCTTGTCTCTCTCCCTCTCCCTACATCTCTTTTTCTCCCTCTCCATGAGTTAGCGAAGAATTCTCGCGAACGTGTTTCACGCGGCGTCCTCCCGTCTTGCTCCTCCCGGACAGGCTTCGCTCGCCAGCTGCTTCTTTGCAAGGTACGAGACCAACTACGGGGATAACTTACATGCGCTCCAAGGTCGTCAACCTGGATCCGGGAAGCCAGATCGTGAAGCTGGAGAACGGGAACGAGTTGAAGTACGACTACCTGGTGTTGGCCACCGGCACTGGCGGCTCCTTCCCCGGAAGAATCCCTCTGGGAATCAGTGAGAGGATGCGTTCATGCTACGATACGATAAGGAAGAGGGTAACTCGTCTATCGCTGATAAGTGATATCGGAAAGTCCAGCTGTGCTGTTTAAGTCATAGAAAAAGGGGGTATAGAAATGGTACGAGCAGCGCTTATAGGAAAAGTTACAATGATTAATGTAACACTAGTGCGTTTTTAGTTTTTTGCTTTATCACCAAACATTGAAAAATATCCGCAAATGACTTACGTCCACAAGTCATATTTGTAAATGTTTTCTAGTAATACAGAACGCACGTCTGTAATTGTATATGCCATATTTTTATCGCCGTCCAGTATTTTCGTCGAATATCAGACCTTGACAGGAAATAATTTATCGCCGGAGTGTTTTCGATTCGGCGTCGTGAATATGAATTATTCCGCTATTATTCGTATAATTATTCGGTTGTTATTTTCGCTGTCAGGGAGAGCGTTTCGCGACATTCGCGATAAATTAAAAAACCCAGACCAGCGAAATAATACACGTATACAGTAAACTCGTCCTATCGCTGATTTGTCGGGGTGACCTTGGCAACGAAATGGGTGATAAATGGAAACCGATCGACAGACAAGCGTGAGTGGAGCGAGAGATGAGAGACGTACATGGAACGAGAATGAGAAAGTTTGCTGCTCATCTGTCACCGCACACCAAAAATCTGTAGAAGCGGGGTTCGTCACCAGGCGAGGACGGTCGAGACTACTGTATGATGTGAATAGGTTTATGGTCCATATATAGTTGGCGAACTTTCATACGCAACTTGTTTCCCTTGACTTGTGACTTTAGTTTGGTATCAGTGTATCAGAGTACTGGCGTGGTCGGACGGTTTGGTCCTCAATACATGAAGAGCGCTAGTAGTTCAGAGGTAGTCGATTTCAGCTCAAAGCTAATACTTAGAGCAGTGGTTCTTACCTTTTTTGAGTCATGAGACCCCTTTTTGAGTTAACTAGACTCCTCCCCAGAAAAAAATACAACATAACACATAAACAGACAATTTTTAATGCGCCTGGTTCACAGACCACCGTTGAAGCCTATCCAACGGACCCCAAAGAAGTCGCATGCACAACAGGTTTCAGACCCCTGCTTAGAGTGGAGGTTAAGTAGATGTAATTTCGACAAACCATACGACACAGAGCTAACCTCCGAGAAGCTACGACGGTTGCATTCGCAGGGAAGTAAATATTTCAAACCATTTAAATCTCATCGTTTGAAGTTATTTGTTCATTGTACAATTCAGTTAGATCCATAATATTATAATTACAATAATTAAGTAATTATAACTTATGACTCATTATGGATCTAACTGAGATACAACTTAATTTTTTTGTGTGACACTCATATAGATCCGTGAATTACTTCAATCATTGTCCATGTCCGTTTCAATGTCGATTTGTCGTTCTCACAGCGACATTGTTGTCCTCGTTCAGATCATGGATGCAGGAAGGCATTGTCATTGTGGGAGGCGGAGCCGTTTGCTGTCGAGAATTTGGCCGGCGATATAAAGGAGGCACTATCACGGACAAGACTGTGACCTTGGTGCAATTCCGAGCGGCAACTCGTCGACAGGACGTCTGCCGACAAGTTCCCAGGCATGGGTGAAACGGATCGGCTTAAAGAAGCTTGGCATTTGCCATGGTGCTCGGGGGTAGCGAACAGCTGCACTGTGGTGCGGCACACGCCGGGGCATTTCACTCTAATATAATCATTTTATAGTATAAATAAAATATGCATATAATATATGTAATCAAAAAAATCGATAACCCATTCTTGAAAGAACCCGCCCTCTCTAGTACCTATCAGAGTACAGGAGAAGTAAGTTGAAGTCCGAAAGCGTTCACGTTCAGCAGTTGAGGCGGCGTTGGTCGGGAATAAATACACGCAATTCAAAGCCCAAAGTACGCAGGCAAAATTCGCACAATTTGCCGGCTCATGACCCCCCCCCTAATAACGTGTAATTACGGTGTCTGGACACCCGTGGTGGGTCACATGCGCCGATGCGTAGAGGTAGTGCTGCGTTAATGTTGATGGTATGCAGAGAATAAATAGTGTTAAGCTTGTTGCTGATAGCACGAACTTTGAAATTCTGCGAATGTAGCTGTTGTGACGACGCTGTGGCCGAGGAACTGAATTTTAGCTTGCAATGCATGCTTCATTCTTTGCTATGCAGTTACGTAAAACTGGATAGTGAAGTAGTAAAGTGCATACACATGAAACCATGCATACTTGATAACAACTGGCCCTGACCCAAAATATTTAAGCAACAGTGACAATGTTATCATGTAACTTCAACAAAAAGCCTGAATTATCAATGTTAGATGTCACTGCTAATGAAGTGTATTTATTACTGCACCATTCACGCTTTGGCTTCGAGCTTGGAAAAATGATGGCCTCACGAAGCAGTGACAGTTAGACTATGCCCTTTTTGTTATGCATGTAATATGTCTGTTGTATAGACAAGGAGAGTCGTAAACTTGGATCAGCAGTAGCAGGTGCTGGACCCACTGTGGTGAAAACGCGACGCAGACGGCGAGATACCTGCAACTTCGTGATTAAGGCAATCGGTTTGAAAAGGTGCATAGCGTGCTATGCCAACAGTGAACTCGTATGGCAACTGCTCGGTATTTTTTAAAAGATTGATTGTAATGCAATTTAAATGCACGTGATGCAATGTGGCATTATATATCGGCTACTTTAGTGAATTCTAAAGAGGCCCACAAATCATGGTCATGGTTTTAGTTAGAAATCTGGTAGGTGTTATGTTATGTTAGTAAAAACGGTAGGCAATTAAAACCCTGTCCTAAACTTTAACAACTGTGGTGAAAGGTACTGTCCTGGGACAACACTGTAACACCGTCTTTGCTCACTCCGTCACAGTAAGACAAGATGGACAAATTTTGGACGTCTACCTGTTAACGAGTATCCTGCAGGTGGACGGCTATGAAAGAAACGTGTTTGGCGCCGTGACTGCAACAACGTTTAAGGAATCGCAAGATGGGCATGCTTGCCTCGCAGCAAGGGATACCACAGCGTCGCAAAGAGTATTCTCACCAAACGAGAGGGAAAGGCTCTCAATAAATACTCGCGTACGGTAATAGATAGCAGCCACCTTGGATAGAAAGGCTCTCAGAAATACTCCCGGTACCTAAATAGAGAACCACATTGATAGAAAGGCTCTCAGGAAAATACTCCGGATAACGTATATTAGCAGCCCCGACGTTATAGAAGGCTCTCAGAAATACTACTCCGGTCGTAGTAGCAATTCAGGGAACAGGCCTCTAAGAAATACTTACCGGTTATCGTAATAGGCAGCACCATAGTACGAGGGAAAGGCTCTCAAATGGAAATACTCCGGTAACGATAATATATCAGAGCCAACGTTGAATAGAATGCTCTCAAAGAAAATACTCCAAATACGTAATAGCAGCAGCCCATATCGAAGGAAAACTCTGCCAAAGAAATATACTACCGGTACCGTAAATAGCAGCACCATATCAGGGAAAAGGGCTTCAAGAAATATCTCCGGTACTATAAATAGCAAAGCAGCCCATAATCGACGGGAAAGGCTCTCAGAAATTAGCTCGGTACGATAATAGCAGCAAGCATGCCCGGAGAACAGAGCCTCATAAGAAAATACTTCCGGTATACGCTATACAGCAGCCATATCGAGGGAAAGCTCTCAAGAAATTACCCGGTATTAATAGCAAGCAAGCAAACTGCCGGAGAACAGGCCTTCATCAAGAAATACTCGCGTAACGTAATAAAGCAGCAGCCATAAGTCAGAGGAAAGGCCTCTCAAAAATACTCCCGGTACCCTAATAGGCAGCAATGCCGGAAAAGAAATTCCCAAGAAATACTCACGGATAACGTAATTAGTAGCAATTGCCAGGAGACAAAAAAAAGTAAGCAAAAAAAAGTGCCCTTTATTTCTTCCTGGACACCCCTTTTCAAAAATTCTGGATCCGCCCCTGTGTGTGTGTGTGTATGTATGTTCGTGCGTGCGCGATCGCGCGCGTGTGTGTAAATTATTGTGGGCTTACGCTCGTGCTAGTATGTGATGGCTATCGCCGATCATCCCCCCCCCACTCCTCGGTACGGATTTACGCCCCTGATTCGCACACTTCACGTGCTCATGCATTGCCGCCCCCCCAAAATAAAATCCTGGCTACGCGCCTGTAGAAAAAGGGGGTATAAAATGGCCGAGGCGCGCTTAGGAAAGTACATGATTAATGTAAACACTAGTGCGTTTTTAGTTTTTGCTTTAACACAAACATAGAAAAATTCCCCAAATGACCACAATCATATTTGTAAATGTTTCTGTAAACAGAAACGCACCTGTGAATTGTATACGCCATATTTTTCGCGTACAGGTATTTTCGCGAATTCAGACTTGACGGATAATTTCGCGGTCGGTGAATTATTCCGTATTGTTCGGTATGAATTATTCGCGTTGTTATTTTCGCTGTCGGGGACGCGTTCGCGACATTCGCGAAAATTAAACCACCGCGAAATATACAGCGTATACAGTAACAGTCTATCGCTGATCGGGTCGGGGTGACCTTGGCACGAATTGGGTGATAAATGGAACCGATCGACAGGCGACGTTGAGTGGAGCGGAGAGATGAGAGACGTACAGGGAACGAGATGAGAAGTTTGCTGCTCTCTGTCACCCACCCAAAGTGTCCTGTAGAGTGGGGTTCGTCAACAGGCGATGACAGTCGAAGGCGTACTGTATGATGTGGATAGGTTTATTCCATATATATATTGCGACCTTCATAAGCGCAACTTGTTTCCTTGACTTGGACTTTAGTTTGGTATCGTGTATCAGAATACTGGTGTGGTCGTGACGGTTGTCCTAATACAGAGAGCGCTAGTAGTTCAGAGGTAGACGATTCAGCTCAAGCTAATACTTAGAGCAGTGGTTCTTAACCTTTTTTGAGTGATGGATCCCTTTGAGAATCTAGTGAATGTTACGGACCCCTCCCCAGAAAAATGCACATAAGCAGACAATTTTTATGCGCCTGGTTCACGGACCCCATGAAGCCTATCCACGGACCCCAAAGGAGTCTATGTACCACATGTTAAGAATCCCTGGCTTAGAGTGAGGTTAAGTAGTGTACTTCGACAAACCATACCACAGAGCTACACCGAGAGGCTATAGCGTGTGATTCGCGAATAAATGATTTCCACCATTTAATCTCATCGTTGAAGTTATTTGTTCATTGTAATGTCAGTTAGATCCATAATATGTTATAATTACTAAGTAATTAAGTAATTATAACTTATGACTCATTATGGATCTAACTGAGATAAACTTAATTTTTGTGTGAACTATAGAGATCCGATGAAATTATTCAATCATTGTCATGTCGTTTCAATGTCGTTTGTCGTTCTCAACAGCGACATTGTTTGTTCTCGTTCAGATCATGGATGCGAGGAGCGTTGTCATTGTGGGAGGCGGAGCCGCCGGCGTCGAGATGGCCGGCGATATTAAGGAGGACTTCACGGACAAGACTGTAACCTTGGTGCATCCGAGCGAGCAACTCGTCGACAACGACGTCTCCGACAAGTTCCAGGGCATGGTGAAGGATCGGCTTAAGAAGCTTGGTGTTGCCATGGTGCTCGGTGAGCGAACGCTGCATCTGGTGCGCACAGCGCCGGGGGCATTTCACCTAAATATATCATTTTTTATATAATAAAATATCATAAATATATGTAATAAAAAATCGATAACCCATTCTTTGAAAGAACCCGCCCTCTCTAGTACGCTAAGTTAGAGTGACAGGAGAAGTAAGTTGAAGTCCGAAAGCGTTCACGTTCAGCAGTTGAGCGGCTTCGTCGGAAATAAAATACACGGCATTCAAGCCCAAGTACGCAGGCAAAATTCGCTATTTGCCGGCTCATACCCCTCCCCTGATAACGTGTAATTACGTGTCTGGAACCGTGGTGGGTCACATGCCGATGCGTAGAGGTATGCTGCGTTATGTGATGGTATGCAGAGACAAATGCGTGTTAAGTTGTTGCGATACACGAACTTTAAATTTCTGGGAATGTACTGTTGGTGACGACGCTGTGGCCGAGAACTGAATTTTTAGCTTCCGTGCATGCTTCATGCTTTGCTAGGCAGTTAGTAAACTGTAGGTGAAGCAGTACGTAGAAGTGCATACACAAACACATGCATACTTGATTAACAACTGCCCTGCCAAATATGTGAGCAACGTGACAACGTTATCAAGTAACTTCAACAAAGCTGAATTATCATGTTAGATATCAGTGCTAATGGTGTATTTATTTTACTGCACCATTCACGCTTTGCTTTGAGCTGGGAAAAATGATGGCCTCACGAAGCAGTGACGTTAGACGTATGCCATTTTGTTATGATGTAAATGTCTGTTGTTATAGGAGAGAGAGTCGTAAACTTGGATGCAGCAGTAGCAGGTGCAGGACCCGCTGTGGTGAAAACCGACGCAGGACGCGAGATCCCTGCAGACTTTGTGATTAAGGCAATCGGATTGAAGGTGCATAGCGTTGCCTATGCCAACAGTGAACTCGGTATGGAACTGCTCGGTATTTTTAAAGATTGATTGTATGCAATTTAAATGCACGTGTGTGCTAATGTGCGTTATATATGGGCTACTTTATTAATTACTAAAGAGGCCAACAAATCAGGGTCATGGTTTTAGTTACGATCGGGGTAGGTGTTAGTGTTAGGGTTAGTAAAAAGGGTAGGCAATTAAAACCCTGTCTCTAACTTTAACACTGTGGTGAGATACTGTCCTGGGCCACCTGTATACCTGTCTTTGCCGCTCCGTCACAGGTAAGAAGATGGACAATTTTGGACGTCTACCTGTTAACGAGTTCCTGCAGGTGGATGGCTATGAGAACGTGTTTGCGGCCGGTGACTGCAACAACGTTAAGGAGCGCAAGATGGGCATGCTTGCCACGCAGCAGGGTACCAGCGTCGGCAAGAGTATTCTCAGCCACGCCGAGGGAAAGGCTCTCAATAAATACTCCGGTACGTAACAATAGCAGCCACATTGATAGAAAGGCTCTCAAGAAATACTCCGGTACGTAATAGTAGCAGCCACGTTGATAGAAGGCTCTCAAGAAATACTCGGGTACGTAATAGCAGCAGCCATATCGAGGGAAAGGCTCTCAAGAAATATACTCCGGTATGTAATAGCAGCAGCAATGCCGGAGAACAGGCTCTCAAGAAATACTCCGGTACGTAATAGCAGCAATGCCGGAGAACAGGCTCTCAAGAAATACTCCGGTACGTAATAGTAGCAGCCATGCTTGGGGAAAAGCACATACTCCGGTATGTAACAGTAGCAGCCATGCTGATGAGGGCAGCACCCTCGCAAAATACTGCAGTAAGTAGCGGCAGCAGCAGCTCAGAAACCGCATTGCGTTGCTGCCATGAGACATCGTAGCGATTGTACCATGATGCGGAAACGTCTTAACTCTTTACACGACGAAATAATAGAGCACGTAGAGGGGAGTGTGACTAATCGTGAAGATTCAACGTGACATTTTCAAGAGTGTGGGCTATAGGCAACGACTTATGTGAGCATGGGCATGTTGACGATTTGTTCGTGCTGTTGTCCCTAGGTGGCGCTCCGTTTGCGCTCTGCATCGGGCGCACAGGCGGTGTGACGCGCATGCCTTTCTTCGGTGGCGTGGTTCTCGGTGACTGGGTGACAACTAAGATCAAGGCCAAGGACTGCTGCCTAAGCGTCGTTAAGAAGCAGCTGGGAGTTAAAGATTGAAACGAGAAGTAATACAGGGATCCTGTGATTGTCTACTACGTGGTGGAATAACTCGCACACTATGTGGTGGAGTTGATCACGCATGTAGAAAATGTGCAGTGGCAGTAGTAATCGTGAGTGCATTAGAAGTGCCCTGGTACGCGGTTTGGGGATGAGCCAGAACAAAAGCTGGAGATGTCACCGACTTTCTTACATGGTAACTATCCTGCCCCACATAATCTGTTGATTCTAGCAAAGTGGCAGTGGGTTTGACAAGCACTGAGCATCTAACTCGGTTGCTATGGTGACTGTAAAAATAGAATCGAATCAATGTCAAGTGAAGTGGAATATGTTCAACGAGTTTCATCCAGTGTCAGAAATTAAAAAATCAATTTAAATGTACCCCTAATATTAGGGTTTATCCATTGTGTGCTTAGAGTTGGTATATGAGGAACATTCAGACTTAAATCTGTATAACTGGCCCTTATATAATTATAATCTAATCTGCACCGACTTTGTCCCATGCAATGAGCATTTTAAATCTATAGTTTTGCAAATTCAAGTAATTCATTTATATGACATAAAGCTTTTTGAATCAAGTTAGGCAAACATTTTATATTTGACCATCGATTTCGAGTAAAATTTGTTAGATCAGAAGTGCTAGTGCATTAAATCAAGAGCAATTAAGTATGCCTAATACTTAGTGATTACGTCACCGTAAATAGTAAAAATAAAAAAAATATTTCCACTTTTTCACAAAATATGTGATTCTGTTAACTTTTTATGGTTAAATTGCTGCATTATACTTCCTATTTTACTATATTGTTCGATGTGAACATACACTCGTGACTCATACATAGCGCATAGCAAGCAATTAATGTCAGGAACAAAATATCAGATTGTCCAGGTTTTTTGGATTTTTAACTAGTTGAGAAACAATCTTATCAGGTAAGAATTTGATGATACGTTTAGTCCCGTTAGTTCTTACTTTTAATGTAAAAATATGACAACAAAAATTTTACAAATTTTACCATAGAAAATTTGTGACGTAGTCAATTTAATACGCTCTTGATTAAATGCATGTAAACTGTATCATGAACATGTCTACAAAACCCTACCTTAAGAAATACTACAAACATCAAGCCTCTGTTGTTTATATGTTGTTATGTCAGTGAAATGAGCTTTAAGAAAAAACGAATTTGCACTTCATATTTTATAGCACATATATATATATATCTATTTACATCAGCAATTGTCAGGAACAGATATAAATTGTTTGTCCTCGGGTATAAAATGACCTCTATATGCATGTTGCCTTCCGTGTATCGTATCATGAATAATCATGTGAAGAGAACCAGCCAAATGCAGCGGTTCATGAGAGATAGCAAGATGTTATCAAGAGCGTATAAAGAAGGATACTTCTTTATACGCTCTTAATGTTATGTATAGCATAGATGTTTGTATAGTGCAAGCGGTGTGCTCTCATAACCTATAGCTGGACGCGAGGCATTTGTAGTATTTGGTTTTAGAATCACGTGGAGTTAAAAGGAGTCACCAGTGGTAGGCAGGTCAAATAGCATTTATAAATACACATATGAATCTACAGTTTATAGTATACAACTTGTATTAGATTGATGTGTAAAAAATAAATGAATGGCGGTACCATCTAAATTTAATATATGCCTATGGGTTTTTGTAGATAGTGATCATGGCATAATTGTGTGAACGCATGTGCGTGTATGAGTACTATACATACTGTAAAAGTCACCACCAAGAGCACGAAGTTCTATTCTTCATAAAATTTTATTTGAATACTAATTAAAAAAATCACTAACAGATATGTAAACCAGCTGATGACATAGTAGAAATGCTCGCCTTTTCTTCTCGTTTGAAACCCTTTGTCATCGGTGAGCTGTTTAGAACTTGACCTCGGACATGAGCAAAGCCTTGCTATCTATGATCTCCTGTAGCCATTTTTCACGGAATCTGGACATGCCCGGTCTGAAACACGACAAGCAAGCAGCAAACTCAGCTAGTACGTTCTACACTAGATCCAGTTATTATAGCCTTTGCTGCAATGGTTGAGTAATGGTACGACAGCCAGCAGAGCTAGTTCTGCATGCAAAACTGCCACGTAGTTTGCAAAATTCTCACTAGTGGGACCAGGTTGGGGTGTTTTTGGAAATCTGACGAGAAACTTGTCGATTACTCGCAAATTACAAGTACGTGCCTGCGTATGTAATGTTTAATCGTGTGTCTGCATTTCAAGATCAACTTATATCCTACAATATTAACACTCATAAGTCTTCTATTTGCAATTCTTTGCCATTATGCATGGCCTAGTCACTTGTACTATAGACAACGTTGGGCTGAGCACTCGTGACATAACATGCGGGAAAGCACTTATGCGATCTTCTGATGCGATGCGTGCCTGTCGAGACCATCAGGAAAAGAACTAAACAGGTTAGTGAACGCCCATCAGCCGATACCTATTGTGTGGCTACACCGGTCACACACGAGCAAAGATCGTAGAGTGAACAAGATAAACCACTCATGCGAAATCACGTGCAATGACGTGTAGTACGCAATG